TNTNTNTNTTNTNTTTNTNTTTTTTTTTTTTTTTTCCTTCTTTTTTTCCTTCTTTTTTCTTTGCTTTCAGCGTTGGAATTGATGGGGCCGAGATACAGAACGTTCGCCGGGATGGTGATTTGCATGTTCTTCGCGTCGGCGATGTCTCTTCTGGCCGTGCTGGTAACGCGTGATCGTTCTATATCATCCACCTCTAGTTCTCTCTCTCACGTACGAACGCGAGGCTCACCACGCTCTACCCACCTTTTTCCAGGGCTACTTGCTCAGGCACTGGTTCACCCTCTCCCTGGCAACCTCCGTCCCCTTCGTTCTCCTGTTCAGCTACTACTGGATCATTCCGGAATCGCCGCGATGGCTCCTCAGCAAGAACAGGATAGACGAGGCGGAGGTGATCGTTCAACGGATGGCGAAGATCAACGGGAAAACGGTGCCGAACAATTTTCTTCGAAAGATGGAGGTGGGAACGAAAAAGAGAGGAGAAGACGAGAAGAGAGACGAGGGAGCGTCGATTTTTCAATTTCGCAGGTGGAGATATTGCGGAGGCAGGGGATATCTTGCAACGGGACGAATTCGGGGGACGGGTCGGGGGAGCCGGGCGAGAACGAGGATAGATCGCCACCACCCGCGGCCACGCCTATGGATCTGATCAGAAATCCAAACATCAGGAAGAAGTTCTTCATCCTGGCGTTCGATTGGGTGGCGAACGCGGTCGTCTATAACGGGCTGTCGTACAACGCGACCAACCTCGGCGTCTCCGATTATCTGGCCTTCTTCATCGGTAAAAACCTTGTCGCGAGTACGAACGGCCTTCGAACAACGGCTCTACTTGTAAACATGTTTTCGCATTCGTGGATCGCAATCTTTATGCAAAGATACAGATCTGCATGCAAAGTTTAGATACGTATGCGAATGCGTATGTTTTTTTCAAACGCGACAATCGCGACTGCGCTTCCAGCCCAACCGTTATTCCCTTACATATATATATATATATATATCCGCATATACTATATACCGTATATACGTATCTCTGTCGTATTTCAGGCGGACTCGTGGAAATACCGTCGTACGTGATCACGTGGTACGCGATGGACAGATTAGGGAGGAGATGGGTGTTGTGCCTGACCATGCTTTTAGGCGGCCTCGCTTGCGTCTCTTGCATGTTCGTTCCCGAAGGTAACGAAAATTTCGTTTTTCCTCTTCGACTTTGAGAATGAAAACGCGAAATGTGTCACACGACAGACGCCGTATGGGTGACAGTGTCGCTGGCTATGATCGGGAAATTCGGTATCGCCGCCTCGTTCGCCGTGTTCTACGTGTTCGTCGGGGAATTGTTGCCGACCGTGTTGAGGTCGCAAGCGATGGGGATCGCCTCGTTCATAGCTGGCATCGGCCTCCTCGCTTTCCCGTACATCGTCCATCTGGCGGTCTACTCGAGAGTCTTGCCGCTGATCATAATGGGCACGCTGAGCGTGGCAGGCGCCCTCACGTCCATCTTCCTTCCGGAGACGCTCAACATCCATTTGCCACAAACGATCGAGGAGGGCGAGTTGTTCGGCGCCGATTTCAAGCTCTGGTCTTGTCCAACGTTGCCAAGGTCGATACTTCTCTTCTCCTGAAATTTATTCGCGATCTTTCTCTTCATTACAATCACTGTCCCTCTATTTCTTTTAGAAGAGAAAACTCGGACTCGGAGGAAAAATCGGAATCGATGCCGCTCAGGTTCCTGGTGAACGGTCGGCCGGGAAATCCTTCGCTGGCAACCGCCGCGTTGCAGGAAGAGTCGACGAGCTCGGCGGCGACAACAGCGAACGAGGCGGAAGCGGACAACTCTCGTTCCAGTGTTCAGTGCGCGGGTATCTCAACGGATGGTGAAGTGGTGGAGGTCGCGACCTGTGCCGAGAAAACATTCGACGATCCGTCGACCGTGGTCGTTATCGAGCGAGGAAGAACGCAGTGAACGTACGGAGAACTGTTCGCCGTTCTTGTTGAGATTGTTCGTTGTGCACGGTAGCATACGATCTACGCGTTGATGCGTAATAACGCGTCTAACAACGTATTCGAAATACTGTGTTTCCGTTCCCGTTTCTTCGTTTTCGTTCGTTCGCGATTTCTCTGAATTTCGATCGATAACCCCTCCCCCTCGTCAGGGATAGAGATGAGGTGAGAGCGCGAGAAAGAGAAAGAGAGAGTAGAAACGATGGTAAAAGGAATGGAATCATGGCTAGGCGCGATCCTTCGCGTCGCCAAGGAGAAACGGACGTTCGTCTGTTTCTGTTTGCCCGAAACGCTTTTGGTAGACAGATACCATCGAGTCGAGGATCCACGGATTTGTACCTCGTCCTTGGGTGTCCCACGGACCACCTATGCGGATGCTCGATTGAAATTTCTGTCTTGGTCTGGCCGTAGTTGAAATTTTCGTGCCGTTTTTTCCTTCCGTTTGCCGATACAAAGATGCGGGAAATCGTGCATATCCAAGCTGGACAATGTGGCAACCAAATTGGTGCCAAGGTCAGTACGTTTTCTCGCGCATATACACTTCGATATACGTATATATAGATACGCTTACTCGCGCGAATTCTCTTCTCTTCTATACTCTCGAGGGGGAGGCGGAAATCAAACGTTCGTGGTTTGAAACGCACAGTTTGTCGAATGCGTGGCTCTCGGGTGTCGGTGATCGATTATCGGTAAGGAGGTGAACTAACCTTTCGCGACTGTTTACCTTCGTCGTCCGTGTCCCTCGGGGCTGGGAAATTTTTACCACCTTTTTCTTCAAAGCAATCTTGCCATATAATTTCCGATAACGGCAGTTCTGGGAGGTGATCTCGGACGAGCATGGCATCGACCCATCCGGTACCTATCACGGAGACTCGGACCTACAACTGGAAAGGATCAACGTGTACTACAACGAGGCGTCCGGCGGGAAATACGTACCGCGCGCTATCCTCGTCGATCTGGAACCAGGCACCATGGACTCTGTTCGCTCGGGTCCTTTCGGCCACATATTCCGCCCCGACAATTTCGTGTTCGGCCAATCCGGGGCTGGCAACAATTGGGCGAAGGGCCATTACACCGAGGGCGCGGAGCTGGTCGACTCGGTGCTGGACGTGGTCAGGAAGGAGGCTGAGAGCTGCGACTGCCTGCAAGGTTTTCAACTGACGCACTCGTTGGGCGGTGGCACCGGTTCCGGGATGGGTACACTGTTGATCTCGAAAATTCGCGAGGAGTATCCGGACAGGATAATGACCACGTTCTCCGTGGTGCCGTCACCCAAGGTGTCCGATACCGTGGTCGAACCTTACAACGCGACCCTGTCCGTCCATCAATTGGTCGAGAACACCGATCAGGCTTACTGCATCGACAACGAGGCCCTCTACGACATCTGTTTCCGCACTTTGAAACTCTCCACCCCGACTTACGGTGATCTGAATCATCTCGTCTCGGCTACGATGTCGGGCGTGACCACCTGCCTCAGATTCCCTGGACAATTGAACGCCGATCTGAGAAAACTTGCCGTGAACATGGTCCCGTTCCCCCGCCTCCACTTCTTCATGCCCGGCTTCGCGCCGTTGACATCGCGCGGCAGCCAACAGTATAGAGCGTTAACCGTTCCTGAGCTCACCCAACAAATGTTCGACGCGAAGAACATGATGGCCGCCTGCGATCCGAGGCACGGCCGTTATTTAACCGTGGCCGCGGTGTTCCGCGGCAGAATGTCGATGAAGGAGGTGGACGAGCAAATGCTGAACATCCAGAACAAGAACAGCTCGTACTTCGTCGAGTGGATCCCGAACAACGTGAAGACGGCCGTGTGCGACATCCCGCCCCGCGGTTTGAAGATGTCGGCCACGTTTATCGGCAACTCGACAGCTATCCAAGAATTGTTCAAAAGAATTTCCGAACAGTTCACCGCCATGTTCAGGAGAAAGGCGTTCCTTCATTGGTACACGGGCGAGGGTATGGACGAGATGGAGTTCACCGAAGCCGAATCGAACATGAACGATCTGGTGTCCGAGTATCAACAATACCAAGAAGCCACCGCGGAGGACGAGGGAGAATTCGACGAGGAGGAGGAGACGGAGAAGTGAGGGACGGGTTTCAATCGTTTTACCCGTTTCACCAGTGGGCTCCTTCTTCCTGCCCTCCTGATCCTCGACTTGCAATCCGACCAACAACATCTGCAAAATCCACGTGAAAGAGATTCGCTCGGTCGAACCCTGAAAAAAAAATATATATATATATATATAATGTATGTACACTTTCGCGGACGTAAACTTTTTATCTTTGTATCGTTATTTTTTTGACGAGCTTGGTTTTTTGATTTGTACATTTGATCTTTTTACATTTGTTATTTTCGATGAATTTTTACGTATATTTAGACACGCACACGCGCATGCGCGTATCTGCGCAAGCGCGCATCACACACGCGCGCGCACGCGCACACACACACACATACACACACACACACACTCCTTACAAAAAAATGCTCGCATGATACGTAATAATATGATATAAATATATTTACACATTATACACATATACACACGCGTGTATACATACCTTGTAAGTAATTTAGAAAATGTTGTATTATCTTTGTTGAACATTTAATAGATATTCTTTATGGCATATAATAATTTTATACCATGATCTTGAATTGTTTTGCGATGACAACGAACGATTGTTGTATCGTATCAAAGTAGTATAATCGATTTTCGAGTCGATTTCGAGATTGGCGGCGATGAACGAACTCGAGAGATCGGATCGCGAGAGATCGAAAGTAGTCGAGTGAACTTGCTTCCTTGACAAATTTCCCGTCTCAAAGATTCCTTCTCACTCTTTTCGGCGCAATCGAGAATAAAATTATCCGTGAAAAGTATCTCTTAGATTCTGCAAAAAAAATGCGAGAAATTGTGCACGTGCAGCTCGGTCACTGTGGAAATGGGATTGGTGCAAAGGTATACACGACGATTAAGTGCCGTTCTCTCGCGACACCCACATAACCTTACTTCTTAGTTTTGGGAGGTGATCGCGGACGAGCACGGCCTGACACCGGACGGTATTTTTCAAGGGGAATCCGATCTTCAATTGCAACGATTAAACGTGTATTTCGTGGAAGGGGCAGGTATTGGAAAATTTACAGGTACAGGTTTAACCTATCGATACCGAAAGCGGTGTTTCGCCTCTCTCTTTCCAGGTAGAAGATACGTCCCGAGAGCTATTCTGGTCGATCTCGACCCGTCAAGCGTGAACAACGTTTTGTCCGGTGCATGGGGGAGAATGTTCAAGCCTGACAACGTTGCTGTAGGTAAAGCTGGCACGGGGAACAATTGGGCGAAAGGTTACTATACCGAGGGAGCGGAATTGATCAGCATCGCATTGGATCTGATTCGCACCGAAGCCGAGGCCTGCGATCTGATTCAAGGTTTGTTTCGCGATGGAAAAGAAACAATGCGCATTAACATAATCGTATCGGGAGGTGTAACGATTATTTACGTATCGAAACAGATTTCTTTCTCCCTTCCCTCTTTTTCCTCTCCATCCTGTTTGATCCAGGAATTCAACTCGTTCATTCGTTGGTGGCGGAAGCGGCGGTGGGATGGCCGCGTTGCTAATGACCAAACTCAAGGAGGAGTATCCGGACACGATCATCAAATCTTATTGCGTGATACCGTACTCGTCGATGCCGACCGTGGTAGTGGAACCGTACAACGCAATATTGACGCTCGTCAAAGCGATCGATTGCAACGATCAAACATTTTGCGTGGACAATCAAGCGATGCACCACATCTGCACCAATGTTCTAAAGCTCACCACACCAACGTTCACTGACACCAATCGAATAATATCCAATTACATGTCGGGCATCACGACTTGCTTCAGATTTCCCGGCCAATTAAATACCGATCTGAGAAAGTTGCTGGTCAACTTGGTACCTTCCCCCGTCTTCACTTCTTCATACCAGGCTACGCGCCCCTATTCTCGCGAGGCGCTGCTCCCTACATAAAACTGAACGTTCCAGAATTGACGAAGCAGCTGTTTCACGCGAACAGTATGTTCGTTTACTGCGACCCGGCCAAGGCAAAGTTTCTCACCGTGGCCGTCATCTTCAGAGGCAGAATGTCGACCAAGGTTTGGAAAAGCTCTGGAAGCTAGTTTTCTTTTCTTTTTTTTTTTTCTTTCTTAAATTTTTTATTCGACTCGCGGCCAACAAAGCCAACGAGAAACAGCGAAGCGAGAATAAGGTTATCCGCGTACAAACGTCAAAGGAGTGGCGCCTCGATCGCCTCTACGCCTGACGATTCGATTCTTTGTTTGTTTACAGTTCGTGGACGAGCAAATGTTGAATATACGAAGCAGAAACAGCCCGCATTTCGTCGACTGGATACCGAACAACATACAAACCGCGATATGCGATATCCCCCCCCGTGGAATCAATATGAGCGCCAGCATGATATCGAACTCGACAGCGATACAGAAGCCTTTGAAAAGGCTAATGTTCGCGTTTGATAATATGTTGAAGAAACGCGCGTATCTGCATTGGTATACGAACGAAGGAATGGACGAAAGCGAGTTTAGCGATTCTTATTCCGCGATGAACGATCTGTTATTCGAGTATCAACAACACCAAGAAGCGGTAGCCGAAACTAGCATCGTTCACGAGTCGACGGAATACGAGGAGGAATGACGATCGATCGAATCGATCAACATATCGAATGAATGGAGAAGGAGGAGGGAGCGAAACCGAAGGGGAGGGGAGGGGAACAGTAGAAGAGAGAAAGACAAATGATTGAAAAAAAACGTATATTTTTTTGCAAGGAACAAACTTCTTGCGCTACATTGCGAGACGCGTGCCACGATTAAAATATATATAATACATATATATATATATGTATATATATATATATATATGTATATATATATATATATATATATATATATATATGTATATATATATATATGTATATATATATATATGTATATATATATATATATATAT